AACACCTCAACAAAATACCCTGCAAGACTCACATGAGCTGTAGTCTAAACTCCTTAAAGGGGGTTCTATAAGGAATTATATAGGGGACTACAATAGGGGTTATTAAGGGGGATACTAGGAGTTTAGACTATAGCTCGCATGATAGTTGAAAGGTCTTGGTTTTGGAATTGCAGTAATCAAGCTCCCTTCTTACCTTTGCTTTTGACATCTCTTGGTGGGGGGTGCAAATGTTAGGGAGAGGAATCAGGAGTCTTACCATGCTTCAAGGAATGTTGAAGGGTTTTTGAGTCCGTAGACAAAAACTCACCTAAGCACAATCCCCTAACCCTGAACCCTAATCTCGCCTAAACCTTAAACCCCTTACCCCTGCCCCCCAGGAAGGAACGGAAAGGATTTCAGAGTAGTCCGCAGATAAACCCCCAAAGTTACCCTCATATTGCACTCCTTTATTCCTATATGCCATGAGTAAGCAAAACCCTCAACTACCAGCATCCATGTAGCGACGGGTTCGAGGTGACGGCGTGTCACAGACGACCGCCTTCGAAGAAGCTGGCCACTGGGTTGTTGAAGAAAACCTTTTCCAGTTAAGGTTGAAGATTTATGGTCCCCTTTGAGTAGGTAGCATATGGGGTATATGAGATCTTATTGTAATATACCCAAAGCCATATTCTATTTACTTACGGGGGACTATACGGCTTAGGAGTTACGGTTAAGAGTTGGGTTGAGGATGTAGAGATACAGGAGAAGGGAGGAGAACATGGAAACTACTGTAGTTTTAGGGTTCAGGGCTTGTGTATATCTACTATACGGGTTTGCCAGAATGGCCATATCTGAAGCACTTAGAAAGAACGGACATGAAGATTGTAATGGTTGTCCAGCAACATGGCAGGTTACACAGCAATCTATGACTCGTCCGACTACGTCTTAGGAGACGTCACGGTGGCCAGCATCTCGTTCACGGACGAAGACTACCTTGAAAACTTCATAGGCCAGGCAGCTACAAAGACTTTGCCACAGTTTAGGGTGTTAGGGTGTTAAATCAGTTACTACTGACCACTACTGACTTTCCCTCCGTTTTTCCAAAGCACATTTCAGCAGTTACCCGTTGCCCTTGCCCCGTATTCGTAAGACTGCATAGGCTTGAACACGCCCCACAAGCCCAAACAGTTCCCAAGTCAGCCCGAAGTGCCTGATGTTATCCATGATATCTGCTGTCTATCAACGGGGCGTTTACTGCAATGTAGAATATCAAAAAACCCTAAACCCTATATAACCAATTATAGTAGTTTCCATTTTCTTTTCCATTATCCCTATATAACCCCAATATAACCCTAATATTACCCCAATATAACCCCAATTTACCCAATATATACCCACCCTAAACCCCTAAATAGTAGCTTCCATTTGCTTTTCCATTATCCCGATATTTGTTATCCCTAAACCCTAAACCCTAAATAGTTTCCATTTTCTTTTCCATTATCCCTATGTAATCCCTATATCCCCCCTACAGTAGTTTCCATTTTCTTTTCCATTATCCCCATATATACCCTATAGTATATAACCCCAATATTTGTTATTGGTGACAGTTCCGAATATTTGGACAGGAGGGACCGTCTCATGGGAGCGTAGTGCATCCCAGGACTATGGCCTCTCAGCTTTTGTTTGGGGTTTTGGGTATAGGGTTTTGGGTTTAGGGTTTTGGGTTTTGGGTATAGGGTATAGGGTTTAAGGGTTAGATAGAGTTTCAGGTTTAGGGGATGCTGACAGATCCGATTTAGCGTTCAGGGGGCTTTCGCCCTGCAGTTGCAGTTGCTGGCTAGTGTCTGCTTTAGGGCGCAGAAGACGGTCTTTCTAACAACCCAAAACCACACACCTCCACTCCCAAAAAAAGCTGTCGTGCAAAGCAGAGTCGTCATAAGCACCCATAACGGGTAGGCATGCTAAACTTTCGTTAAAAGTTCTTTGCGTATAAGCCTCCAGGTATAACTGCACCTGAACGTGAACACCAAAGCAACAACCATGGGCTTATTCAGCACGAGTTGAAGCCAGTGGGTTTAGGGCGAAGGGTAGCACAGGAGGCCCTGCACCCCAAACCCAAAACCCTGCTGCTGGGGAACCCATGATCCAGACCCAGGATTTGTGTCTGAGTTCCATGTCTATCTGGCAGATGATGCGACGGGCAGCAATGAGAGGCTATGGCCAGGGATCACCCAACTCCAAAGTGCTTACGTAACAGTTTGTAATAGGCGTACAAACACTGCAAAGGCTATACCCTAAACCCTTAAACCCTAAATCCCTAAACCCTAAACCCCTAAACCCTAAACCCTTAAACGCTAAACCCCTAAACCCTACACATAATTATCCAGCCGTTCCGGAGTGGGGGCAGGAAGCGAACCAGCTCTTCAACTTAAAGATAGCCGGGTAACCTGTTCCTTTAGACACCTTTATAGTCACTAATAGCTGGCGCTGAAAAGAACCCTTATCTGGTTACAGTAGCAGTATACCCTAAACCCTAAGCCCTAAACTCACGAACCATAGTCTGCTAGTATAGGCCGCTGCATTCTGTAGTGCTAGCGACCGTCTCCCAAACCTCGGCCATTACATAGAGTAGCTACGCTTGCCAGGCTACTGGGGGCCGTTGATGCCACGCTCTTCTCCTACTTGACCCTAGAACTCAAGGCTTAGGGTTAAGGATATCGTGTGTACCGTGTAAGCTTGCGGTTTTGGGCTTAGCATTGGGTCAAGGGTTGTGGGCTTACTAATTTAGTGCAGGTGTCGCATGGTTCGTGTAGGGTCCATTGCGTAGATATACCAAGCAATGTATGGTATGGGGCTTCATGTGGGGGGTTGCAGCACTACATGTCCTGAGAACCCTAAATCCTGTTGCGGAATTCTGCAAAACCCCTAGAGTTGCAAATGCTTACAAGAGTTGCCCGCAGTCCTAAGCACTAACTTTATATACTAAGGACAGCAAAGTGGAGTTAAGGTTTGGCAGCTGGGGGCTTATTGTCGAGGGTCGAATGTTGGGTTGGCTGTGGGCCGGGAAACAGCGCATGGAAATGCAGGCATGGTTGGTGGCCGTTCATTTTGATGTGCAGGGCTTTGCAGGTGCTTTTGTGAAAGCTGGGGGTAGCCCCAGGGGTTGAAAGGGATTCGCAGGAATCCAGGTTGCCAGAAGCTTCTTTTATTCTTACTGGAATGTCAAGACATCCCCATATTTTGAGTGTGCACAGAGCCCTTACTTTTGGAAAGCTACTCTACCTACAGCTCTTCAGAACACCTTTTGTATACATACGTGCATATAATACAACACGTACCGCTGGGACTATTAACTGCACTCAAATGTTCTGCCTTAGGATTGCAAACGGCACGGCGGCCACCGAGCGCTGCGTTCTGGTCTCTAAGCTTTTCCTAGACGGTTGCGATGTCTCAGTAAGCTCTAAACCTCACCCCTGAAATGTTCTAGGCTCTTCCTGAAGGTTGTTTCATGTTGGTGAGTAGGACCCTCAGAGACAGCCGGAGAATTCTAAGGGCCTTTCAGAGACAGCTGGAGAATTCCAAGGGCCTTTCTCGTCTTTCCCCAGACACTTTTGCCAAGCAGAGGGGGTGACCCTAAACCATATATTTACCCTAAGCCCAAATCCCTAAACTCTAAACCCTAATTGGGATCCTTTTGGATGAGCCGTAGGAGTTGTGTTGCAGATGAGAGATAGATGTATATATATATACATATATATATATGCACGTTATGAGGTCTATGCCGCCAACCCAAACGGACGGGCGAGCTCTGCTGCATCAGCAGCCTTCACAGATTGGATTTGGACACCGCCGTTCACAGTTACATCCACCTCGGTTACATCCACCTCAACATCTGGTACGAGTAGTTCGTCAACAACATCAACTTCATCTTCAAGTAGCTTGACCACAAGCGCCACGTCCACACGCACAACTACTTCCACGGCGACCTCGAGCTCCTCTTCTAGCTCCACTACACAAAGCAGCTCAACCTCCTCCTCTACTAGCTCCACAACAACTTCGTCGTCCTCTTCAAATTCCGCCAGCTCGTCTACCTCCAGCACTAGCTCCACAACATACTCATCAACTTCTTCCAGCAGCAGCACTAGCACAAGCACCTCGTCTACATCTTCTACGTCCAGCACAAGCTCTAGTTCCACATCTTCCAGTACGACATCTTCCAGTACCACATCTTCCACTTCATCCAGCTCGAGTACCAGTACTTCCTCCAGCTCCACGTCTTCCACAACGTCCACCACAACTAGTTCATCAACATCATCAACAACTTCGTCCAGCAGCTCCACAACATCCTCGACCAGCTCCACGTCATCTTCATCATCTACTTCGTCAACCAGTTCCACCAGCACGACATCAAGCACCACTTCAACGTCAACAACTTCTTCTACAAGTTCAAGCTCCAGCACAAGCAGCTCAACATCAACCACTTCATCAACTTCAACCAGCACCAGTACAAGTTCCACTTCAACCACCAGCTCGACGACATCTTCCACAGGCACATCCAGTACGACAACATCGTCCTCCTCAAGTACCTCAAGTTCCACAACCACAAGCTCTTCTTCCTCCAGCTCCTCATCTAGCAGCACATCCAGCTCAACAACATCAACTTCCACTTCAACGACCTCAACCAGCACATCAACATCCTCAATTTCAAGCACCTCCACTTCCAGCACTTTGAGCTCAACTTCCTCCTCAAGCACCACGACAACCCACACCACAACATCTAGCACGACAACCTCCAGCTCAACAGGGACAACATCAACGACCTCGACCGCGACTGCTTCAACGTCCTCCACAAGCACTTCGTCATCCACTTCCAGCAGCACGTCCAGCACATCAACTTCAACATCCACATCAACAAGCACAACACTTTCCTCGTCCTCAGCGACAACTACGACTAGTGGCACGTCAACCTCGACAAGCAGTACATCTTATACCTCCTCGTCGTCCACCTCTTCCACTAGCACGTCAACCAGCAGCAGCACTAGTACCAGCACGACGTCTACATCCTCTACAGCCAGCACAAGCTCTAGCTCCACATCTTCTACTTCATCCAGTTCGACTGCCAGTATCTCCTCCACCTCTACTTCTTCCTCCACGTCTACGGCAAGTAGTTCGTCCACAATGTCCACAACGGCTTCCAGCAGCTCCACAACATCCTTGACCAGCTTTACGTCTTCTTCCACATCCAGCTCGTCAACCAGTTCTAGCAAGACGGCATCATCTACCACCTCAACGTCAACAACTTCTTCTGCAAGCTCCAGCTCCAGCTCAAGTAGTTCGACATCCACCACACTTACTTCCTCCATTTCAGCCACAACCTCCACATCTTTGACTTCTACCAGCTCCCTAACGTCCTCTACATCTACTACAAGTAGCATATCCACCTCATCCACAACTTCCTCTTCCACCTCTACGACATCTATCAGTAGCAGCTCAATGTCCACGTCTTCCACTACATCAACTAGCTCCAGTAGCACCAGTGTTTCTGCAACCAGCAGCTCCTGGGAACGCTTTTGAGAAACGCTAATCTTTCATCTATTCCTCATTTTCTTACTCGTGAGAGACAGCTACTTTTCTTCTAGAGACGCATACAGGCTCCACATCTACCTCCTTCACTGCTACCTCTTCGAGGACTACGTCGGTGACAACGTCAGTTTCCCACACCTCATCATCTCTGACAAGGACCACATCCCTGACCACATCGATTTCCAGCACATCGTCCACTCTGTCAACAGGCACCTCAACCACCACGACCACCACCAACACGCGAGCCGACATGTGGCCTTATTAGCTAAATGGATAACCTGACCTCTGGGTTATACACAATCCGATCTGACGTTATTTGGAAGGTTCACTTCTTCGGGGGCCACTAAGCTCAGCAGCCAAGATTCTTGCGGTGCAGCATTCAGGGCTGAAGGCTTAGGATTCAGAGTGCCCCTGCTCTAGCTATGGCAGGGCAAAGATGCAACCTAAGCGCGGCCTCGTCATCGTTTCCCTGCCAGCAGTCTTGCAAGAAATGTAGCCGGCGCCCCAAACGATCGGTTCCTAACTGTTCAGACCCCTAGCCCTGAACTGAGACCGCTGTTTTCTAGAGCCTTAATTTATCCCTAACATGTAAGGCTTACGGCTAAGCATTGTTTCCTTAGACCCAGAGTAGAAAGAAGATGGGGTATATGGGGCACTTATTATGGTTCTAGGGAATTCCATAGTCTATCTCCTTAAGGGGGACTGTATGTACCCTATATGAGCTTGCACCCCACTTTTCAAGGTGTATCCTTTGGACCTTCTGCCCACACCCTAAACCCAAGCCCCAACGCCTCAAATCCTGAATTTTAGGGTTTAGGGGTTTTGGGCAAAAAACGGGTCTTGGGCTTAGGGGTTGGCCGGTTTCGGGTTAAGTGTTACCCTAAAGCCTAACCCTAAAGCCTAAACCTTAAGCCCTAAACCCTAAGCCCTAAACCCTAAACCTAGGAGACCCTCCTCGGGCCCGCGGAGCCATCCACAGCCGGGACTGCTGCGGCTGCCTCCCTGGCGGCTGTAGCACTGCTGGGAGCCGCAGCAGTGCCGCTGTACACCTACCGGAGCCTGGGGGCATAAAATAAGGGTAGTTATATGGGGATAGTGGAAAAGAAAATAGAAGCTACTAATTTGGGTTTAGGGTTCAGGGTTTGGAGTATTAAATAAGGGTTACATGGGGATAATGGAAAACAAAATTGTACTGGGGTTGTATAGGGTTTAGGGGTTTGGGGGTTTAGAGCTTCGGGGTTTAGATGTTTAGGGTTTAGGCTTCTACAGTGTTACTACAGGGATTTCTAGGGGTATATAAAGCTGCCGTCTTGGGGTTTGTTTTCAGCTTCTGGCTATGTTCTATGGGATCTACTGTGGTTGATTAGGGTAAAAATGGGGGTATCAAATGGAAGAGAAAATGGGAACTAAAATTGGGTTAGTGTATAGGCCTATGAAGAAAACCGGGGCCCTATGTAGAAACCCGGAGCCTGTAGTGTGACAAAGGTTTGGTTACTTCAATAAGGGTTATATAGGGAGCATTCAGGCTTTCTAGAAGAGGAATATGCAACTACTAGCGGAGAATCATCATTTGAAAAAGAAAAATGAAACTGGGGCACACATGAGGGCTATATGTGGGTTCACATTTGGTACCAAGAGGATCTTTCTGTAATCTCAAGCCCCTTAAACTAGGTAGCCAGAGCTATCATTTAGACAGATTGTGGGCTATGGGGCAGTGTTTAGGCTTTGAGGTATTTTGGGGTGTGGGTGCATAGATTAAGGATTTAGGGCTTGGCGCTCGCGGTGTGGGCTTAGCCAATACAGGAGCAGGTGTGTATATCCACCTACACTGCAAGCTCGGGGTGTGGGCTTAGCCAATATAGGAGCAGGTGTGTATATATACCTACACTGAAAGACGTCAAGCCGAAAACCCCCTACATATACTTATATGTCCATATTCTCATTTCTATTCATATCTATATTTATATCATATATATATATGCACGGACGCGCCTGCCAGATCATGTAGTCTGACAACTATGGCTTGAGGTTTAGTCAAAACGGCGTTTGGGTTGCCACGCCTCACATGTGGGGAGATAGGGTGTATATATAAAAGGTGGACGTAGCAACCTCCTACCGTAAAACCTAAACTATACAGGGCTCAGGGTTTTGGGTACAAGCAGGCTTCTCAGAATCTGGGCCTGGGCGTGACGGTCAACATCCACTATCAAGCCCAAGGAGCTGCAAGTTATGGTTCCCCTTAAGTGGATGGAATTTGGAGTTGCCCAATATCACAGTAAGATCCCCATATGCCCCATACCCCATATTCTACCTACTTCACAGGGATTGTCGGTGAATTTGACTGAGGTTCGGGGTTTATAGTCTGAACTCCTCAAGGGGGGTTATATAGGGGATTACATAGGAAATTGCTGCAGGGGTTATTCAGGGGGATGCCAGGAGCTTAGACTATGGCTCATGTAGACGGATGCCCTTCCTGGGAATTCTATGTGCATGCTGTAGGTGGACCCCCCGGCAGTCGCGAAAAAATAGTAAAAAAAGGGACCTAGTATGATTGCCATTATCCCTTATGTCACTATTACATGGTGTGGGGGTCCACCTAATAGATGTTTGTGATTAAAGGGAAGCTTCTCAGGGAGCTTGGCGGCAGGTGCTCTCGAAGCTATCACAACACCCGCCCGCGCACGCAGCGTGCATGGAGCGTACATAATTCAGGTGGACCCCCCACCCAGTAATAGTGAGTTTAAGAGAAAACGGTGATAATATTAGGATTTTCACCACTGTTACAGGGTGGGGGTCCACTATATACATAATGTAGAAGCGCGAGCAATTAATTAGTAATATTGTCCGCTCATATTCCTCATAATATTACAGTACAGTGTACCCCCATGTCCTTTGCTAATTAGGTATTTAGGCCCTTACATTAAATTTACATTACAATCTCCAGACGACCTCTTCTATACAAGCCCAGTTTGCTTTTCCTTTTCCATGCCTTTCCCATTCGATGTTGAGTGTGCCATGACTTAGGCCCCCCAAGGCGAAACCCTCAACCCTGTGTGCTTTCATATGTCCTCTATGTACCCATATGAGTAGTATTTTATTT